AAAATTAAAGAAATTATATAAAAAATGATAACTTTTAAATAGTTGATTTGATATTAACATTAATATTTTTTTTTTCTAATTTTATGATATTTTTAAATTTATATTTTATTCAAAAATAAAAATATTATTGTTTTCTTACAAACACATAAAATCGTATTATAACATCGACAGAGACAAATAATAAAATAGAACATTAATTAGTTCTCACATCGTATCCGCTTGATTTATGGTTGAGATTGGATCTCACAGTTATCACAAACTAATCAGTTCTCATTTGATTAAGCTTCTGCGAATACAAATATTAGTTTTTATTTAAATAACAGATAAATTTGATTAGCTGGTGAAAAAGTTTTAAATGAAATTTTGAAAGACAAAATTACTAAAAACACCAATCGGTTGGTATTTAGATAAAAAAAACTATTTAATTTTTTATTCGCGAAGCCTATTAAACCCATTCTAATGGTAATTTAAAAAACTTTGGGAATCAATAAAATTAAAATTATTAATGATTTTCTTTTTTAAATTACCATTTAAAAAGTTTAACAGGATTAAAGAAAAAAATAAATTTAAATAGAATACCGACTGATTGTTGTTATTAGTAATATTGGTTAACTTGTGAGGAGGTTTAGCGGTGTAAGGACGACTTGCCCTGCAACCAATATTGCATCGAAAATCGTTCGCGTCATTGATTTAGTATCATATGTGATAGAATAATAGTATCACATGTGATTATCTAGAGTACAAGAATGTTCTTATGTTTTCATAAAATGAACATGTTCTCGTTTGAACCTTTCCGGTCAAATAAGGCTATCATTTTCTACCTGAATGTGGACCTCTTTTCTACAAAGAGTGTGGAAAGGAAAGGCCGTTTTTGTAAAACCTCCTGCCTTGGAAAAATATGTGAAAAAGGAAGATTGTCCACAAAATCTCAACAATTTTGACGAAAAAAAATAATTGAAAAAAAAAACAAATTAACGATTTGTTTCCGAATTTAGTGAAGAAAAAAATGGAAAAAAAAATGAAAATTAAAGGAAAATAAATATTTTTTAATTTGTATTTTTGGAATTGAAAGAAAAATAAAATAAATTTTAATATTCTTAAACGTAGGAGAAAGAAGGGAAAAGTTGTAACAACCCTCACATCTCAAATACATATAATCCACATCATCATTCTCATAATACTAAAATAGTATTATTACAAAACATGAACTAATGAAATGTATCTTTAATACATAAACATAACAAGTTAATATCAAATATTAGACTTTTCCCTTGCCTTTATCTTTCAGAGCACGCTGTCCTGCAAAACAGGGTAATCCAACATTTGAGCGTTAGACCAAAAGGTCTAATGAGTGTATAATCTCATTCAACAATATACATTCCAAACAATCAGTTTAGAATCCAACCTGTTCCGAAACATAAGTATATTTATGTTTCTCGCGGATTATACCGCCATCTCATTCTCATATCTCTTTCACACTCACGGTTACACCGCCCACTATATCACTCTCGCGGTTACACCGCCATCTCACACGCAGTAAACACTGCTCAATCACTCTCGCGGTTACACCGCCATCTCACACGCAGTAAACACTGCTCAATCACTCTCGCGGTTACACCGCCATCTCACACGCAGTAAATACTGCTAATAACACCCTCGCGGTTACACCGCCATCTCACAC